AGCAATTCCTTGCCCAGATCCCATCTATCCCTGCCCTTTTCTGTGTCCTGTAGTGGCAGGAGCTAACACCAGGCCCCAGTTCATCCCTTTTTGCCCCCAGAATTCCCGGAATTCTCCGCAGTCGCGGCTCACCCGGAGCGCCGCGTTTCCAGCAGCGTCAGGAGCACCTGGGTTCCGTTCACGATGCAGTTCTCAGTCTGCTCCCCATCGAACATGTTCCTCAGGAGCTGCTCCACACATTCCTGCCTGGGGACACAGGGARGGGTTCCAGGGGCTGGAGCTGCCTCCGTCCCCAGCGCCGCGCCCGGGGATCCGGAGGGACGGTGGCTGCGCTCCCTGACCCCGTTATTTGGGAAAAATCCCACTTTTCCCACTGCTCTTTGCCAGGAATAACGGATTAGAGAACAGGGGGCTGAGGCCAGCCCTGCTCCACAGCTCCAGTTCCTGCAGCTCCCATTCCCCACCACACCCCAGCTCCCCAAAACCCAGCCCTCAGCAAGTYCCCTTCYCCAGCCAAACMCAGCATCGCTGGAGTTCACAGCCTRATCTTCAATATTTTCYCATGTTCCAAAAAATCTCCTTTCCGTGGGTATAAATAAAATATGAGATAAAAATGTAAAAACAGATGAATAATTCATGAGGGAGGCTCGTTTGAATAAGGAGCATCCAAACAYCCTCTGTCAGCAAAGCTGGGGAGGTAAAGGCAGCAAAGGAGTTTTGTGTAATGAATAGAATTCCCTTTATTGCACCCAGCCAGCAGCTCCTGAAACCTGGATTTGGGGCTCATTCCATAGCCCAATGGCACCTCCTTCATCCCTGACTCTCAGAGGATACCAATCCAAATCACTAATGCTGAGGAAAATGGGCCAGGAAGAGTAAGGAGCTTTGTGAGCTTCAGCAGAAGAGGAAGAGGAGCCAAAGAATCCCTTCACCCAATACAGTCCTTATTTTGAGTCCTGAAGTGGTATCAGGAATTCTGGAAATGGTGATTGAAGCACAGGGTCCCACAGCCCTCTCTAAAACATCCAAAAATCCACCAAAATTGACAAAAAGTCCGGAAGTGCCACATCCTCCATGGCCATCACCCCTCCCTGTGCAGGGAACCACAGCCCTCAGGGGAAGGACCAAGCTGGAATCTCATCCCCAAATTTTCAAGGGCTCTGAAGTGACAGAGAGTGAGGAGAGGCTGAGGCTCCAG